CAACTTACTGTTCCAGGACCAGACCTTAAGAGTGCATTATTCACTAAGAAGATTGTCCTTTTTTACATGGATTACCTTCACAAAAACCTGATTTATAATTTGTTTTCCCTTTTATTGAGCATCCGCATACCGGTTATTTCCGAGTTTTTTGTCTCCTGAAAGATGCTCGTTTTACCTTTCTTTTTCTCAAACGAATTTTTTTGAAATTTAGCATCTGCCGAATCTTCACAGTTTTGCGATTGTAGCCTTCAGGGCTTCGTTCAACTAATTGCCTATTATAAGTAGACGTTGTTTTTAAAATTTATTAAAAGAATCATTTTTGGGATTCCATGTCGATTAAAGACGTCCATTTAATTTTCAGAAGTTCTTTTTCTTAACTTAAGGAGTGGCATAAATCTCATATCGCTAATTTCTGCGGAAACAAAATGCTTCAATTGTGGGTAATGATTTCAATTTGTAAGATCTCCTAGGCAATGGTACAAGCGTCAAAAACTGAAAAAAAAATTTCCGCACTGAAAGAAGAAGTTCTTTTTTAAATCATACAGTTTTTAGCACTGTCACAAGGGATTTATTATCAAAATCGATTGTCTGCGTGTCACCCACAAATCAAGCTAAGCTGATGACGCGAAAAGTTTCAATAAACTTATTCCGCAAATTCCTACTTTGAAATTCCTAAAGAAACAGAGTAAATAACTGTTATTCATTTTTTTCCATTCCAGAGTTAGCCACTATTTTTAAATCTTAATAAACTCCTCTTGATTAAAAATTTACAATGAAAAATTGAATTGATAATTATGGATAATAGCTCATACGTCAATAAAACACTATATAGCCAAAAATCACTCAAATTTAGGTACAAGACATCAATTCCATGTCTACGTCACTAGGCCAGCGCACATCCGTGTCCAGAGAGTCTGATCCTTCTGAACTGGAAGTTGCCAACAGTAGTCGACCTCCATCAAGAGAGGAACGTCGTGAAGAGCGCAAGGAATATCTCAACACCATCATTGACACTAATGATAAATTGAGAGAGAAGTGAGTTTCCGTTTTATCTATTTTTTGATTGTTGTAAAATATTAAATACTTTTGATATATTAAGGCTGATCGAGGCGCAAGAGGAATTGAAGCAACAATTGATTTCTGGAATCGCGCAAACGCAAAGTATGCGTGATATGGCTGCGGCAACAGCGAGCCTTATGTCAGGTAAGATCGTATTGTTGG